TGGAGTCTATGATACTAAGTGATCTACCACAGAAACAAAGAACTGACTATCACATGTTCTCATTCATAAGCAGACCTTGAACAATTATCATTATACTATAAGAAAATGATTGGCAGCAGTGGGAATCTGCAGGGGGGGAGGGGAGTAGGTACCTGCATAATAAACATTTGTATACCTAACCCTGAATCATACCCCACCATCTTTAAAATAAAAATTTTTTTTTAAAAAAGTAGCTGCCTCTTGACAACACAAAAAACACCATTCTATTTTGATGATAATCCATTCATTTTTATGTAATATAATAATTAAGGAATTAATTTGTATTTATATGAACTGGTCATCACTCACAAAAACAAAACCAAGATCCACTGACCTCAAATACTTAGAATATTACTGTCAAATACAAGAGCTGCTGACATACATGGAAGCATTACCAAATGCCTAAAACTTCCCACCTGTCGGTGCTCACTGTGTCAGCTGAATGCTTCATGTGAACTGGCTTCTCATGTCCTCCTCACAAGCCTTGGCTATATTCCCCTTTGAGTAGGGGAGAGGTCACCCGCACTCAAAGCCATCTGACTCCAAGGGCCTCAGCTCTTAATTAATTACCTCATTCCACAAAGCATCCACCACGTATAGAAGTTGGAAACTGTTAACCAAAATCATGGCCAAGGATGGAACAGCACGCTGATGTAATTTCATTTCAGTCAAAAGCATCACCAAGTTAATAACCACCTGAAATAAAAAGGGAAAGTATACAATTTCAAAGTACCTCCACAGAGATCTTAGCACTAAAAAGGGAAAGAGTAAACTTCACAGCTGAGAAACCTGGCAGACCCTACCTTACACATACCCGCCACCAAGAACAAGGCATCTCAACACCATGAACCCCTGGATCCAATACACTGAGAAGGACACAGTATCATCTCTGTGACATTCTTGTCACAAGTGCGTAACCTCATTCTAATCATTAAAAAAAAATTTGGATGACTCAGATTGAGGCACACTCTTACAAAATAACTGACTAGCCAGGCACAGTGGTTCCCGTCTATATTCCCAGCACTTTGGGAGGCCAAGACGGGAGGCTTGAGTCCAGGAGTTGAGGCCAACCTTGAGTCCAGGAGTTCGAGGCCAACCTAGGCAACATAGCAAGATCTCATCTCTACAAAAAATTTAAAAATTAGCCAAGTATGGTGTCATGTGCCTGTAATCTCAGTTATTTGAGAGGCTGAGATGGGAGGATCAGTTGAGCCCAGGAGTTTGAGGCTGCAGAGAGTTGTGATTGTTCCACTGCATTCCAGCCTCAACAACAGAGTGGGACCTCAACTCAAAAATTAAAACAAAATAAAATGAAATAACTGACTAATACTCATCACCCAAAAAGATACAACCAAGGTCATGAGAGACAAGGAAAGACTAAACAACTATTACAGATTAGAGACTAGGAAGAAATAACAACTAAATGCATCCTGGGATCCTGTAGGGCAGGGGTCCCCAAGCCCTGGGCTGCACAGCAGGAGGTGAGCAGCAGGAGTGGAGCTCTGCCTCCTGTCAGATCAGCTACAGCCTTAAATCCTCACAGGATCACAAACCCTACTGCCCCATTGTGAACTGCGCAAGCGAGAGATCTAGGTTGCACGCTTCTTATGGGGATCGAATGCCTGATGATTTCCACCCCGCCTACCCTGACATCCCTTCCCCTGCTGTGGAAAAGATGCCTTCCACAAAACCAGTCCCTGATGCCAAAAAGGTTGGGGACTGCTGCTACAGAGGATCCTGAAACAGAAAAAGGATAACAGTGGGAAAAAGGGTGACCTTAAGTAAGGTCTATGGATTTAGTCACCAATACTATAGCACTGTTAATCATTGTACTAGGATTTTGGCAGATGCTAACATTGTAGGAAGTAGGGTGAAGGATATGAGGAAACATGTTGCTCTATTTTTACAACCCTTCTACAAGTCTAAAACTGGATAAAGTTTTTAAAAAGGGAAAAAAATACATTTTTCCTTACATTCATTCATTCACACTATCACTTTCCTACATAAAAATAAACTGATATAATAAAAAAAAAATGCTGGACACAGTGGCTCTTGCTTGTAATCCCAACACTTTGGGAGGCTGAGGAAGGAGGAATGCATGAAACCAGGTGTTCGAGAACACCCAGGGCAACAAAGCATGACCTCATCTCTATGAAAAAACAGAAAAAGTAGCAGGGCATACTGGCACATGCCTGTAGTCCCAGCAACTTGAGAGGCAGAGGCAAGAAGATCACTTGAGCCTACAAGTTTGAGGCTATGGTGAGCCATGATCATGCCACTGCACTTCTAGCCTGGGTGACAGAGTGAGATCCCGTTGCAAAAATAATAATAATAAAACACAGAAAAACTCTTTAATTTTTCATAACCTATAACAGAGCATCTTAAATTTCTGGAAAACGTTTACAGCAAGAAAATATTTTGATAGATTTATGGAAAGTTATAATTATCCCTAAAAATATACCACATCACTGCTTATTTTTAAATGTTCTACATTTCTTTCTAGAAATTAATATGAACTACTGAATTGAAATTTAGGGAGAAAAAAAAAAGACATACCCATCCAATCAATCCAGGGCGCAATTCACAAAAGTATTTGAGATCAAAAGTACCAATTCGAGGATTTAATTCACGGCCAATGAAGAAATCATAAACAGCATTTCCTGAGAAGGGAAAAGTGTTTACCCAAACAGTGTTCCAAACCCAGTCAGTCTTTAAAACTGCACTGCTGCCCATTATCCAGGGTTCACAATTCAACTGTCTACAAGAGCCTGAGGAAGGTTCTGGTGGTGAGAGATGAGAGCGAATGGCACAGACTAAGGGAGCCAGGGATACCTGCCCAACAGAAAGAGCAGCCCTCCACCCTTTGGGGGACCAGAGGCCCAGATCTCCCAACTTTAAGAGAACTGGAGTCTTTTTTAATTTTATAGTCACAATTTTTTAAGATAAAAAACCTTTTTTTATGTTTAAATATTTAGGTCAGAATCAACCAATGTGTAACCTCTGTTTTATTTTTGTTTGTTTTGTTTGTTTGTTTGTTTTTGAGTTGGAGTCTCACTCTGTCGCCCAGA